ATATTTAGTGTGAGGGTTAGTGGTGGCGGTGTTGGAGTGATTGTTACCGTTAGGTTGAACTTTTTGAACGTCATCGTCAACGTTATCACGTGACCTCCCTCCACACGCGACGGGTTGTTCCGTCAGAGCAAATCAAAGCAGCCAATCAGAGGAACCCTTCGCGCATTTGTGGTACGGAAAAAATAGACGCGCCCGGGGGATAGCAACACCCTTGTTCCGTCAGAGCAAATCAAAGCAGCCAATCAGAGGAACCCTTCGCGCATTTGTGGTACGGAAAAAATAGACGCCCCCAGGTCATGAATAATATTTAAGACTGGTGTCAACCAGAAACTGCGCATGCGCCAAAATGACGTAGTTTGTTTACCAACTTGAACGCCCCTTATTTGCCTCGAGGACCCAAGCATTGAATGTCAAACGGTATTTCATTGGTCACATTGTAAACATGATGAAAGCTAAGTGCTGATTCGCTTTACATAAAGTCGCAGTTTACATTTCACATCTCGCATTTCGCATTTCGCATCTCGCATTTCGCATTTCGCATTTCGCATCTCGCATTTCGCATCTCGCATTTCGCATTTCGCATTTCGCATGAGCCTTCTGGGCTTTCGTACTACGGGCATATATTTTCTGCTCTACATTACTAGCACAATATTGCGTTCCTCGCAAATCAGTGATGGGAACTTATACGATCGGTGGCATTCGAAAAATGTTTATATCAACAAATGACTACCTGAGTCCGCTACCAAGGACTGTAGGTCACGTACACGCTGCTTCCTAATGATTATCAGCAGATATGTTATCATTAGACGCGGACGCGTCAGGGATCACTCGTCAGCAATTAATGCAACTTACTTTGACATCGTGCGCGATGCATGCATAATGATAATCAAGGGAGAGCGTCTGCCCTGGCAACGTTCATTCACACCTCCACATTATGAAAACATTTACACACACGTAAGCACGCGCCTATGTATGTTTGTACGCACACTGGCAAAAGTCTATGCCACACACACGCGCACGCGCGCGCATGCAGGCAGACGTGATGAACAGCTATTGAAAACATCTTGATAAACAAGCTTTCGGTCGTTTTGGCATCTGTTGACATGGTACCGACATTATAGTATAATTTATGAAACATCCGTTCAATCAGCTTGTCCGTGTACAGGTGGTGGCAAGTACACAATAATATACTGTCATTGCTCGAGCAACGAGGCAAGAATAGATTTCGTATGTGGAAAATCAGGAGTAAATAGAATCCGCAGCATCTGTTTTACAGAGGTCGGTTTTAGGAGTTATATGCTACTAGAGTGAACTAGTTTCGTTGTGATTAGAAGCGCAGTGTACGTAATGGTTTTCCGCGACTTATTTATTTAGTAATAATTTGGTAGACGACCGGGCATATTGATGTTTGCAGCAGAGACTTATTAGACCATTTCGAGTTATTCATCAATATACGTTGTTAATTGGAAAGTGCAGACGGAGGAAGACGGTTAAGGGTGACATGGGGACAGCATGTGGGGGATAATGGGGGTATAAATGCTTTGTTTGAGAGTAGGACGGGTGGTTGTGAATTGAAAATATTATTCGTTAGCTGAACACAACTCCGTGTTGTTCTGAGTTTTACTATTTGAAATTCCAAACCATATTATATATACACTGTGGTTTAACAAAAGAGTTACAGTTCTATTGGAAGCTTTGACACGCCAAAGGTGGTGGTGGACACAGGCACTTGGGACAGAGTCAGTAAAAACTGAAAATAATATAAACGCACATTCACAAATACTACCGTACCTCTCAATTACAGTTCCACTGTTGTGACTTGTGTCACTGTATATCAACTTTCCTTCATACAAAATAACGCCGAACGCTCCCGCACTCGCCGCTGCGAGTGTGCTGTGTCGCCATTATAATGATAAGAATATAATTATTAAGGCTTTATATAATTATTATTATCATTATAATAGCGACACAGCACAACTCGCAGCGGCGAGCGCGGGAGCGTTCGGCGTTAGTTTTTATAAAGGAAAGTTGATATACAGTGACACAACAGTGAAACTGCAATTGAGAGGTACGGTAGTATTTGTGAATGTGCGTTCATATTATTTTCAGTTTTTACTGACTCTGTCCCAAGTGCCTGTAGTGGTGGAGTAACCGCGTATTCCGAATTTACCAATCTTAATCTAGCTATGATTTATTGAGCGTAACTCAATAAAATTAACGTAAAAGTTACCTTTAACAATCGATCAGCTTTGTCCCTAGGATTTTCTCAGACATAATCACAATACAAAAAAAGTCAAAGTTCAGGCAGGCGATTCAGACAAAATGTGGACTCGCATGATTGGTCAATGTTTACATTATTGTTCTGGCTATTGGTTACATTATTGTTTGGCTATTGATTACATTATTGTTTGGCTATTGATTACATTATTGTTTGGCTATTGATTACATTATTGTTTGGTTATTGATTACATTATTGTTTGGTTATTGATTACATTATTTCAGGTCAATAATTGCATTATTGTTTGATCATCAACTTACAATGCCGTTTTAGTAGTGATTACATTCTTGTTTGTTTATTGATTACATTAATGTTCGTTCATTGATTACATTGTTTGATCGTTGATGATATTATTGTTTTGTTATTGATTATACTAACCATCGAATGTATATGTTACTAACATTTCTCTATGCGTTCTTTCTGCGCGTTTCAGGTCAGAAGAAGCAAATGACCGGTTGGCACCGTTCGTAAAGCGCATGCTCATGGTACCCGACGTTCCACAATGCACTATGCGCTGTAGCAGATGTCCGAAGTGCGCCCCAGTCTGCTGTAAGTGGATCATGCGTGAGAAGTAAGCCGGTTTGCCCGCCAGATCGATGGACAAGTTACCGCGGTATTGAATAAATGCATGAATGATTAGGTATAAACAATCGTGACTTCTGAGTGCACTTGCGTTTCCAAGTGCAGTGTGTAAAGGGCCTTAAGGACCGTTGGCAAGCCAGCGCTGAAAAAAAATAAGCAAGTTGTGCACGGTAAAATAATGTGACATTGTAATTCGCATTAGATTTTGTTGAAAAATACGCAAATAAAGTGGCCGGGAAAATATAGTCATGGTTTCAATAGACACCCACTATATCACACATAATTAAATAACCCTAACGTCGCCTTCTCTATTTAACTTCACATCCACCGGCTAATAACTCTGCCCCTTTTTGCTCTTCTCATCCCTTCTCTCTTTCCTCACTCCCGCTCTCTATATCTTTCTTTCTCTATTTCTTTCCTCTCTTTCTTTCTGTCACGCACATACGCGCGCGCACGCACACACACACACAAACAAACAAACAAACAAACAAACATAAGCAAACGAACAAACATACAGAAAAAACAAACGCACACTAACTATCGTTTAACTTGTTACACAGCACAACTTTATTCTGAAATAAATCAAAATAGTTTAGCAGCTCCTGTTTACCTGATTCGTTTCAACGACAATGGCCGCACGCACGCACGCGCCCGCACGCGCACTTTTCATGCTATGCCGCATCCCAACGCATCCGCTAGAACACCCACGCATCTACCCACAGATCCCTCTTACACACGCGCACGTGCACGTACACGCGTCAACGCTCGTTTATACCCGCGAAAGTGCCGACGAGCGCGCCCCCACACCCACACACACACACACACACACACACACACACACACACACACACACACACACACACACACACACACACACACACACACACACACACACACACACAC